CTGTACTGCTTCAGAGGTGCAGGCAGCTGGGAAGGGACATTCGAAAGAAGGCAGAGAAGTTTTGAAAGCTGCCTGGTGGGCAACAGTCCGAAGGAGCTCATTCAACATTGAATTGCCTCTGTGGAGATTTCCAGTATTGACAAACTGGTAAATGCTGGTGAGGAACCTTTTCATCCGAATGTTCTGACCATCTCCGTTACTCAACCTGTGATTGATTTAGTCTTTGGCCACTGCAGATTCTCTGCCAAGCAACCTACTTCTGCTGAGTCAGCTCTTCGACTGAGGAACGAGTCACCAGGACTTCAGACCGTCAGAAAGCTGCCATAGTGGAATGGACAGAGCACTGATACCAACTCTGACTAGGCTCTGAAACGTCTTCTAATTTGTGATGAGTCAACAGTGGTGACATTTTCCAAGGTGGATACTTGATGTTGGCCAGCTGAAGCCAGATTTGGTAAATACCTGTACTTCACATTACTTACACTTCATTTAATTCTTCTGCTTCAGCTTCCCGAGTATGGAAAAATGAAGATAAAAATTTATTGTCTTCAGAGAGAGGTTATTATAATTAATGTCTGTAAAATCCTAAATATAATTAAAGTACACAGTAAACCTTCCAGCTAGGATAGATAAGGATCTACAAATCTTCTGAAATTTCATATATTTATTGCTTTTTCTTACTTTTTAGGTTTTATTGGTATTGATATTGTGACAGTTCAAGTAGGGACAGGGAATCAGAAGAAACCAGTGCTTAAGAACCATGTGAAATGTGATCTTAATAGTTATTAATTTTTCTGCTTCCATGAGATGTGTTTTTCTTCCTCTATTCTTGCTTGACTTTTTTTTTTTTGTCAATATAGCTTTGGCTTCCGTCTTCTGAGAAACTGGCCTAAGCTAAGTCAGATAAGGCTTCTCTTTTAACATTTATGACCAAGGCAAGTTAGAAACGGTGCTTTAATACCATTTGCTGAATTTCAGAGCGCTACATCTGATGTTGGCGTCTACATGTCATATTCTTTGCCCGAGATCTTTTTCCCCTAGAAGAAGCATCAGAAATAGAAACTATAACCTTACCCTCTCCTGTTCCTGTTTCTTTGTTTAACCTTCAGGGGCAGTGATTCAGAAGAACTTAAGAGCTCACAAACACAAATGAGTCAGCCACCCCTCCTCCCAACAGAGGGTTCTTTTCTAAAAACCAGACTGGTTTTCAAAAGCACTGGGCCTCCATTGATTTATGCGCTTTTGAGAATCAGGCCTTGTAGTTAGGTGTTTACACGTCAATAGAAGAAAAAGGTTTCATAATCCTAGTGGAAATAACTTGTCCTTAATTTTTTTCAAAAAAAATGGACTCTAGGTTTGTGTGTGAACATGTGTTGCGTTGACCAGTTGTAACGGAGTGCATTCCTTTGGCTCTTCCATCACCCTGAACTGGTTGAACCTCCAGTGGGCATTCACAGTGTGATGACTGGTGCTCTTCTGGCCAGAACATGAGCTGGAAAAAGCCTGTACCTGCGGTGCCTGCTGGCACTGTTCTGATCAGAAGGTCCACCTGAAAGTGCACTTTGTGCCTCTGGATTGCTGTCCGTAAGTTACTAGCGGGACAAAGTGCTATGTGCTAATACAGACTTTGTCTGGCGAGCATGTGGTCTTTCAAAGCAATACCCACAATATTTGTTGCAGAAAAGGAGGGTTCGTTTTTTCTTTTCATAGACACTGGTTCTGAAACCCGGAGTTCAAATTTGCAATTCAGGAGAATTTTTATTGTAACACTATGGAAAGTAAGAAGAAACAGACAAGGCTTAGGCTACTAACGCTAACGGAGGGTAACAGGAATAATTCAGAATTTATTACATTTCAGTTTCTTCTTTAAGGACCAGTTTCCTTGTATGTACGGTGTGAATAGAGACTCACAAAATATGCAGAATTTTGAGAGAAAATAGGAGGCAGGAATAAAATCTGCCAGTTCCTCTTTTGCATACTTTCCTCTTTCTTTTTTTCCTGTATTCCTTTCTTCTATTTTCTTATTCTTCCTTTTCCCTCAGCCTCCTCACCTCTAACTTCTCAGCTTCCCTTGTCCCCGTCATACCCTATCTCCCACCGCGTTCTGCCCGGTGGAGTGCCTGCCGTCGGGGCGAAGAGAAACTCGCTGCTCTCGCCACTGCCGGGAGCCGTGCTGCTCTGAGGATGTTTTGGCAAAAAAGAAATAGAAGTGCAAAATTAATGTGCATCCATTCCCATTCACAGAATCACAGAATGGTAGGAGTTGGAAGGGACCTCTGTGGGTCACCCATGCCACCCCGCCTGCCGAAGCAGGGTCATCTACAGTAGGCTGTAGAGGACCTTGTCCAGGCAGCTCTTGAATATCTCCAGAGAAGGAGACTCCTCAACCTCCCTGGGCAGCCTGTGCCAGGGCTCTGTCACCCTCAGAGGGAAGAAGTTCTTCCTCATGTTCAGACAGAACTTCCTGTGCTTCAGTTTGAGCCCCCCTGAGGCTATCAGGGATGAATTCGCCCCAGGACTTTTTATATACATTGAAGTGCTTATCTTAATTAAGACAACCTGAAATGAAGCTCTTGCAGCTGAGGATCTGTGGGTAGCAAGCCTCTTCTTCTTCTTCCCCTCCACCTCCCTCCACTCCCCAGGTCTCGATCCTTCACTCCAAGGGTTTGGACCGAGTAGCGCACACCAACAAGGGGAGTCTACGGACTGTGGTAACAGCACTCAACGATATGTTGCAGTCAATTTGTTTGCTCGCAGCTCTCTCTGCTCGTTTCTTACGGGAGGGTGGATCCAGAAGTATGTAGAAATAATAAGACAGAATATGGGAATATTTAAAAACTAGAACTTAAAATGCAAGGCAAGCCTGAAGATTCCATATACTGTAGTTTACTATATTCAAATTGTAAAATCATTCCCCTGTGTCAAATAATATGTCAGATGCAAACAGCTGACAGCAAGAGGTTAGAGGTTCTGAGAGGACCACGCTTCCGACTATCTAGTTGAGATGGTTGCCAAATGACTTTGCTACCTGTAGTAGGGTTCCTTCAGATTTTATGAATAGAACCGAAATTAGCCGTCATTCGCTGCGGCTGGAATACTTAATTGTCAGTCGTATATTTGCAGCCCCGGTGTTTTTCATGGAATTGTAATTAAGATTTCGTGCTGTCATTATCGTGCAGGCCAAATTTCACAGTGCCCGCCAATTTTCGCAGTTAGTCCCTGCAGCACTGTTTTACCCCCTGAAGAGCAGCTCTCCTGCCACTTCTCCATTTCATCTCAGCCTGTGCCAGGTGACCATTTGGAGAGACTAATCTTTTTTTTTTTCCTGGACGGTCTCCCACAAGCAATATGCAGTCACTGGTCTGATCTGTTCCTGTGGCTTCTGTACGATATTTCGGCCAGACCCGTGCTTTCTCCTGGTTGAATACTAAGAACGGTGCAGGCTCGGCACCTGTTGTTGGCCACGGACCTAAAATTGGTTTGTAAGGTGTTCGGAGTAGAAGTCAACTCGGCTTGTGTGTGGATGCTGCACATGGGATCGCGGAAGTCTCTATCACACAAATAAACATCTCTCGGGACACGCAGGGGACGTGTGCTTTTGAACTTCCAGTGGCGCACAGTAAGGATCCACCTTTATTTATCTGCTTAAAAAGCAAAGACGATCCTGGAAAATAGATTCTTTTGGATAGGAGAGACTTTACGAAGTCCTATATTGTGATAAGCGCACGTCTAGTGTTCGGCTGGAGCGAGGAAATTCCAGTTCTGCTGAAGATGAGAGCGCAGGAAAGTGCCTACACCATGCTCCCGGAGTGTTCTGGCGGTGCTGTCTCGCCCTGCCTCTGCCTTGGGTGCAGCTGCATCCCTCTGGGAACGCGCTGCTCCCCACGCAGCCGCCCACCCACGCGTCCTGCCTCTCCCGGCCGAGGGCACTGGTTCTGCTGTTGGCCCCAGGACCACGAAAAGTAGAATCTGCCTGTGCCACGTATCTGTCCAAAGGTAGCTTTTAGGAATGTAGAACCTATTAACTATCCGTATTAAATTATGATTAAATATGGAAACCATAATATAGCAGCCGGATCACTCATCTAACAGGCAGCCATGTTATTTTTAGGGATGGGAAATTCTGAGGTGAGTCAAACTGCACCTAGTTGTGTTCAGATATTTCTTTTCCAGCCAGCAGCTGGCTTTCAGGAGGAGAACTCCTCCTGTTGACAGTCTGGAACGCAGACGGTAATTGGCAACCGCGGTAAGAAATCTCCTGCAAGTGTGTGCTGTCCTACTTGGTGAATGTCGTTCCATTTGGAGCCTAATTGAAAACGGAAGAGGGAAAACTCAGCAATTATTTTTCCCTGCGGTACCATATTTAATATTCTGATTTCATGGCTGTCTGGCTACAATGATTAGGAAGAACATTTTTTTCTAGTATTTACAGTACCACAACAGTGCGTCAGGAGCATCGTGTAACAAGGGAAGGAACTATTATGTTAAAATACACACCGCTTTAAAAACGTACCCAGTTGAAAATAGGATGCTGTTGGGTGTTGCATTTGGTGTAGTCAAGAAGGTAAGCTTTGCCTTGGCTTTGGCTTTGAAAAAGCTGTTTGG